TAACAAAGAAAGTAGTAATATAACAAACTGCAGCTAAATAAGAGTATTAAATATTGAATTACTCTTAAATTTAATAGTAGCTGATTTGTGATTGTCAAGTTAGACCTATTTCTGACCAAAGTATTTGAAATAGTATTTTCTGTTTCTTTCTCTTGAAGACTGCACACATCTACAGTTGACAATCTGACATGGTTCAGAAGGATGACAACAAAGAAATGGAAAATTCACATAGCTAAGAAGCAAAGTTATTTTTAAAAGTACATTCATGTAGTTATAGTATTACACATTATTTTTTTTGCTGATGTGCCATTTGTGTATAATAATTTGTCAAAAGCAGGTTGTTTCATGTTATTGTTGGTGCTTGTCAGAGGCTTGTCTTCATAGTTTCACCAATAGAATAATAATGTTACAATACACATTCATGAATTTATTTTGGTTTGCATAAACAAATACATTAGTTTATATCTAATTTGTAATAAGTTCTGTATATAATCTGTAATAGAAAATGCAGTTTTAAGTATTTGTCTACATTAAAAATTCAATATGTATAGAGAATGTAATTTGATCTAAAATCTTATTTTTGGTTTAACTTTGGGTTTTAGTAATCATTAATGCTGCATTTTATCAGAACTGACAAGTCTTGGCAATGTAATTCCTAAGAAAATGCTTTCACCTGTGAGAGTTTCAGAGGTTTGCCTTGAATGCATGACAAATACCTCCTCAAGGATTGTACAATATTAGGTTACTGTAATCATACTCGTTAATGATGTACCTTTTTTGAAATAAAATTCATGTAATGATACACATTATAAACATTATTATTATTTAAAAGTAACAACCTTTTCATTTAATTGAAAAGCATGTAGATACTATTGGCAGACTTATTGGGAAAAAGTAAGGACTTCAATAAAGACATCATCATAAACAGATAATATTATATATATTAACATGATTTATAAAGTATTTTGAAAATATAAAATTGTAACTACTCTCATACACAGTTATTGAATCCTTCCTGAGAGCATAATTGTATAAACAAGATGAATATATCAGCCAAGCAAAAGGATGTAGAAGGCTTTGTCTGGAGTCAGTGCACTAAATATCAAATAGTACAATGGGTCCTGAATACACATAAAACCCAAGTGTTTAAACTGCTGTCCTAAAGTGCTCCAACAGTATTAGAATTCCTAATAATCTATATGTATTGAATATGTATCCTTTCCAGTTTTAATAAAAATGTATGACAAAAAAATTAAAATAATGTGGGGAAAAGTTTCAAAGTAGACAGTATCATAGCACCATCCATATCTATTTTGTTTACTTAGACAAAGTATCCCAAGGTAATCTGGCCAACTTTAACATAACTGACAATAATATAATAAATACATAACTTGCCATTTACTACAAAAGTAATACTTACAAAGAGTAAAAAATTACTCCTTCAAAATCCTCATTGGAAAATGAAAGTGAATACAAGAGAATACATCAAACAAAGAATATTTACATGCATGTGTACATCAATAATGTTCACATGCACAACTTTAATGAGGAAATCACTTGCCATTTAAAAAATCTGATCAAGCTTCTTATAGATACTAAATCATAGAAATCAATAGTTTTGCATGAATAAACCCCTTTATCTGGACTAGTTGACAAAAATAACTCCTAACTTATGAAGCCATCTTTAAAAGCACCTGCTTTTTTAAACTATAAAATATGGAAAAAAAATTAATACAAAGTCTCTGTTCAATTATATACAAAGGAAATTTTCAAACAAAACTAATTTATAATGCTTATCTCCTAACAAACACAAACAACTTCATCCTTTTGCTAAGCCTTCATTAAATAAAGTTGGACTAGATAAAAGGTACTGTTAGCTAGAGGAATCCCCATAAAGCTTTTGGTAGACTTCCTGTCGGTGTCCTTCTTGCAACACCCTTGAAATGACAGGTTCTAAATCTGCTATGTGACGACTGAAACGTGCTGCATCTCGAGCATACTGTTCCCATGGTCCTCTTCTAGCCTGCTGGTAGGCATGTGCCCAAGTGACCATAGGATGCACTTTTACTGCTCCAAAATACACACGTTTTTTGGTCTTTGTGGAAATGTTCTTCTCAACTTCTTCATTCCAATGTCTATTCACATCAGCTAAATTACAGCTAAACGCATCCTCCTCTTCATCCAAAATATCACAGTTTTTCTCTGTATTCAAGCTTGATCCTTGGTCAGTGTTCTTTCTTTCACTATTAAGGCTGGAAGAGGACCCTTTACAGGTTATTGGAATAGTAAGTCCAAGACCAAATGTTTCCCAACTATCATCTAGACCATTGCTATCATTTTGTACTTCATCCCAGTCACTATCTGAATCATCCCATTCTTCATCAGATTCTTCACTTTTACAGTCATTGAGACCTAAGATATGGGCAAGAACACTGTTTGACAACTTTGTATTGTCAATGCACTTTGGTTGGCAATTTTCACTAATAATACAAACATTATTCATTGAATTATTTTTGTCAACTTCATCTTCGAACTCGATGTTGATACTATCTACACTTGTCACACTAGACTCACTAGTACTGCGTATTCGGCTATTACCAGAACTGCACTCACTGTTGCTGCGCTGTGTTCTTGGGCTTCTTGATTCTGGAGCACACATATCCTTTACCTTTTCCCAAGACTGTGAACCACAAGGAGTCAATATGTTTCCATGGCATATTCTTTGAGGAAAACTATCACTGCATGGAGAACCAAAACTACTTTCACTGGCTAAAGAACCACAATCACTACTTTCAGCATGAGCCAATGCTTTTAACTCATTTAAGAATTTTCTGCTATCTTTCTTCTGAACTTTGTTAGCAGTTTTAAATGGAAGTGTATGTACACTTTTTTCCATTAATGGTGCTGCTTTTTCTTTTGGGTACTTCTTATCTTTTAAGAAAATTTTGGGAAGTGGCTGATCAACTCCTGCAGATTTTGTCTTTTCATTAGGAGATTTTGCTCTTGGTGGTTCTGGTGAGCTTAAAACTTTCTTGGCCACAACAGCATAACTAACCGGAGTACTTCCAGAATGTATATTTTCTACTGATGAAGACTGGTTGGTGTTACTATCAGATTTTATCACAGACTTACCATATTGAGACTTTTCTGTAAAATTTATTTGGTCAACCAGCTGTTTGGGGGATTCTGAAGACATTGAACAAGCCTTAACACTTCCACCATCATTACGAATAGCAGCAATTTCATTTTCTGTTATTTCACAAAATTCTTGACACACAATAGAATCAAGAGAGGTTTTAGTTGAAGGCAGTCTGCCACAAGAATCTTCAGCAGATGAGAAACAGTCCCGAGTGGAAGGGCTCAAGTCACTTTTCCCCCGCATTTCTTTGGGAATCCACTCCTTCGCTTCTGGATTGAGAGGCTGGCTTGGTTTGCTTTTCTTATTAGGGAGATTTGGGAAACAAGGCGGTGGGTGAGCTACTGATTCCCATGGGAAGAGAATTTTCTGTTGCCAAACATGTAAGGGGTCCATGAACTCAAGCTGTGATCCTTCAGGAGGGGCAGCATACCACAGACACCCACCAGTATCTCCATTTCTATTTGGTTCCATAGTTAGAAACTGGCTTTCTGGGATATAAGGCTGACTGTAGGTTACTGATGGAAGCTCATTCATCATGTCTGGGTTGACCCAGGTTACAGGAGTTGATCCAGTCCAAATGGATTGATACATATTCCGTAAGGAATTCCACCACTGGTTTGGCTTTCTCATGCTTGCACCTATGCAAAGTAAAACGATGTTAAGTATTGTAATGGCCTTAACCATTCAGTAAAAAAATAACTTTTAAAGATAAAAATCTAACAAGATATATAACTTGTTTTAGCCAAATCTAGATTCTATTACACTTTTATTTTTCTTTGACAAATCAATTGTAAAAGTAAAAATGTTCAATTAAAATGTTACTTAAGTGTTACTCAAATAAAATCAGACTTCAAACATGATACAATATAAACATAAATATAACACATACACAATATATATATAATTTTCATATCTTACCCTGAGCCATATTCTTATTGGGCAGAGGTGGTTTCGGCCTTGAGGTGTCAAGAACTGGAGGGTGCACATCCATATGCAGAGTGACCTGAGGGTTCATGGCAGGAGCCTTTCTGTTCTGTTGAAACCAGTTTCTTCCTGGCCTCCTCCCAGGCAAAGAGGACATCCACACTTCCATTTTACTTAGTCTGAAAGGAAAATACAGAAACTATCAATGAGGAGGAAACAAGCTCTCTGATACCTTTATAATCAATAAAATGTGCAGGGCATTTGAACAGTACATATACACATGAAGATGGAACAGTTTTATTCTTTACTTTTATTCATGTACATTTTGGAATATACTTCATATTCTATACATAGACATCAACCATATGGAACTAAAAATCACCAGGGATAAAGTCCTCTAATAACTGGACCCCCCCCCCCCACACACACCAACACTCATAAGAGAGAGAGAGAGAGAGAGAGAGAGAGAGAGAAATTAAATATATATATAAATATATATATATAATATACATATATATATACATATATACATGTATATATATATGTATATGTATATATATATATGTATATGTGTATATATATATATATATGTATATATATGTATATATATATATATATATATATATATTTATATATATATATAATTTCTCTCTCTCTCTCTCTCTCTCTCTCTCTCTCTTATGAGTGTGTGTGTGTGTGGGGGGGGGGGTCCAGTTATTAGAGGACTTTATCCCTGGTGATTTTTAGTTCCATATGGTTGATGTCTATGTATAGAATATGAAGTATATTCCAAAATGTACATGAATAAAAGTAAAAAAAAACTGTTCCATCTTCATGTGTATATGTACTGTTCAAATGCCCTGCACATTTTATTGATTATAAAGGTATCAGAGAGCTTGTTTCCTCCTCATTGATAGTTTCTGTATTTTCCTTTCAGACTAAGTAAAATGGAAGTGTGGATGTCCTCTTTGCCTGGGAGGAGGCCAGGAAGAAACTGGTTTCAACAGAACAGAAAGGCTCCTGCCATGAACCCTCAGGTCACTCTGCATATGGATGTGCACCCTCCAGTTCTTGACACCTCAAGGCCGAAACCACCTCTGCCCAATAAGAATATGGCTCAGGGTAAGATATGAAAATTATATATATATTGTGTATGTGTTATATTTATGTTTATATTGTATCATGTTTGAAGTCTGATTTTATTTGAGTAACACTTAAGTAACATTTTAATTGAACATTTTTACTTTTACAATTGATTTGTCAAAGAAAAATAAAAGTGTAATAGAATCTAGATTTGGCTAAAACAAGTTATATATCTTGTTAGATTTTTATCTTTAAAAGTTATTTTTTTACTGAATGGTTAAGGCCATTACAATACTTAACATCGTTTTACTTTGCATAGGTGCAAGCATGAGAAAGCCAAACCAGTGGTGGAATTCCTTACGGAATATGTATCAATCCATTTGGACTGGATCAACTCCTGTAACCTGGGTCAACCCAGACATGATGAATGAGCTTCCATCAGTAACCTACAGTCAGCCTTATATCCCAGAAAGCCAGTTTCTAACTATGGAACCAAATAGAAATGGAGATACTGGTGGGTGTCTGTGGTATGCTGCCCCTCCTGAAGGATCACAGCTTGAGTTCATGGACCCCTTACATGTTTGGCAACAGAAAATTCTCTTCCCATGGGAATCAGTAGCTCACCCACCGCCTTGTTTCCCAAATCTCCCTAATAAGAAAAGCAAACCAAGCCAGCCTCTCAATCCAGAAGCGAAGGAGTGGATTCCCAAAGAAATGCGGGGGAAAAGTGACTTGAGCCCTTCCACTCGGGACTGTTTCTCATCTGCTGAAGATTCTTGTGGCAGACTGCCTTCAACTAAAACCTCTCTTGATTCTATTGTGTGTCAAGAATTTTGTGAAATAACAGAAAATGAAATTGCTGCTATTCGTAATGATGGTGGAAGTGTTAAGGCTTGTTCAATGTCTTCAGAATCCCCCAAACAGCTGGTTGACCAAATAAATTTTACAGAAAAGTCTCAATATGGTAAGTCTGTGATAAAATCTGATAGTAACACCAACCAGTCTTCATCAGTAGAAAAATATACATTCTGGAAGTACTCCGGTTAGTTATGCTGTTGTGGCCAAGAAAGTTTTAAGCTCACCAGAACCACCAAGAGCAAAATCTCCTAATGAAAAGACAAAATCTGCAGGAGTTGATCAGCCACTTCCCAAAATTTTCTTAAAAGATAAGAAGTACCCAAAAGAAAAAGCAGCACCATTAATGGAAAAAAGTGTACATACACTTCCATTTAAAACTGCTAACAAAGTTCAGAAGAAAGATAGCAGAAAATTCTTAAATGAGTTAAAAGCATTGGCTCATGCTGAAAGTAGTGATTGTGGTTCTTTAGCCAGTGAAAGTAGTTTTGGTTCTCCATGCAGTGATAGTTTTCCTCAAAGAATATGCCATGGAAACATATTGACTCCTTGTGGTTCACAGTCTTGGGAAAAGGTAAAGGATATGTGTGCTCCAGAATCAAGAAGCCCAAGAACACAGCGCAGCAACAGTGAGTGCAGTTCTGGTAATAGCCGAATACGCAGTACTAGTGAGTCTAGTGTGACAAGTGTAGATAGTATCAACATCGAGTTCGAAGATGAAGTTGACAAAAATAATTCAATGAATAATGTTTGTATTATTAGTGAAAATTGCCAACCAAAGTGCATTGACAATACAAAGTTGTCAAACAGTGTTCTTGCCCATATCTTAGGTCTCAATGACTGTAAAAGTGAAGAATCTGATGAAGAATGGGATGATTCAGATAGTGACTGGGATGAAGTACAAAATGATAGCAATGGTCTAGATGATAGTTGGGAAACATTTGGTCTTGGACTTACTATTCCAATAACCTGTAAAGGGTCCTCTTCCAGCCTTAATAGTGAAAGAAAGAACACTGACCAAGGATCAAGCTTGAATACAGAGAAAAACTGTGATATTTTGGATGAAGAGGAGGATGCGTTTAGCTGTAATTTAGCTGATGTGAATAGACATTGGAATGAAGAAGTTGAGAAGAACATTTCCACAAAGACCAAAAAACGTGTGTATTTTGGAGCAGTAAAAGTGCATCCTATGGTCACTTGGGCACATGCCTACCAGCAGGCTAGAAGAGGACCATGGGAACAGTATGCTCGAGATGCAGCACGTTTCAGTCGTCACATAGCAGATTTAGAACCTGTCATTTCAAGGGTGTTGCAAGAAGGACACCGACAGGAAGTCTACCAAAAGCTTTATGGGGATTCCTCTAGCTAACAGTACCTTTTATCTAGTCCAACTTTATTTAATGAAGGCTTAGCAAAAGGATGAAGTTGTTTTGTGTTTGTTAGGATAAGCATTATAAATTAGTTTTGTTTGAAAATTTCCTTTGTATATAATTGAACAGAGACTTTGTATTAATTTTTTTTCCATATTTTATAGTTTAAAAAAGCAGGTGCTTTTAAAGATGGCTTCATAAGTTAGGAGTTATTTTTGTCAACTAGTCCAGATAAAGGGGTTTATTCATGCAAAACTATTGATTTCTATGATTAGTATCTATAAGAAGCTTGATCAGATTTTTTAAATGGCAAGTGATTTCCTCATTAAAGTTGTGCATGTGAACATTATTGATGTACACATGCATGTAAATATTCTTTGTTTGATGTATTCTCTTGTATTCACTTTCATTTTCCAATGAGGATTTTGAAGGAGTAATTTTTTACTCTTTGTAAGTATTACTTTTGTAGTAAATGGCAAGTTATGTATTTATTATATTATTGTCAGTTATGTTAAAGTTGGCCAGATTACCTTGGGATACTTTGTCTAAGTAAACAAAATAGATATGGATGGTGCTATGATACTGTCTACTTTGAAACTTTTCCCCACATTATTTTAATTTTTTTGTCATACATTTTTATTAAAACTGGAAAGGATACATATTCAATACATATAGATTATTAGGAATTCTAATACTGTTGGAGCACTTTAGGACAGCAGTTTAAACACTTGGGTTTTATGTGTATGATCAGGACCCATTGTACTATTTGATATTTAGTGCACTGACTCCAGACAAAGCCTTCTACATCCTTTTTGCTTGGCTGATATATTCATCTTGTTTATACAATTATGCTCTCAGGAAGGATTCAATAACTGTGTATGAGAGTAGTTACAATTTTATATTCTTCAAAATACTTTATAAATCATGTTAAATATATATATATATCTGTTTATGATGATGTCTTTTATTGAAGTCCTTACTTTTTTCCCAATAAGTCTGCCAATAGTATCTACATGCTTTTCAATTAAAATGAAAAGGTTGTTACTTTTAAATAATAATAATGTTTATAATGTGTATCATTACATGAATTTTATTTCAAAAAAGGTACATCATTAACGAGTATGATTACAGTAACCTAATATTGTACAATCCTTGAGGAGGTATTTGTCATGCATTCAAGGCAAACCTCTGAAACTCTCACAGGTGAAAGCATTTTCTTAGGAATTACATTGCCAAAGACTTGTGTCAGTTCTGATAAATGCAGCATTAATGATTACTAAAACCCAAAGTTAAACCAAAATAAGATTTTAGATCAAATTACATTCTCTATACATATTGAATTTTTAATGTAGACAAATACTTAAACTGCATTTTCTATTACAGATATATACAGAACTTATTTACAAATTAGATATAAACTAATGTATTTGTTTATGCAAACCAAAATAATTCATGAATGTGTATTGTAACATTATTATTCTATTGGTGAACTATGAAGACAAGCCTCTGACAAGCACCAACAATAACATGAAACAACCTGCTTTTGACAAATTATTATACACAAATGGCACATCAGCAAAAAATAATGTGTAATACTTATAACTAATGAATGTACTTTAAAAATAACTTTGCTCTTAGCTATGTGAATTGTTTTCCATTTCTTTGTTGTCATCCTTCTGAACCATGTCAGATTGTCAACTGTAGATGTGTGCAGTCTTCAAGAGAAAGAAACAGAAAATACTATTCAAATACTTTTGGTCAGAAATAGGTCTAACTTGACAATCACAAATCAGCTACTATTAAATTTAAGAGTAATTCAATATTTAATACTCTTATTTAGCTGCAGTTTGTTATATTACTACTTTCTTTGTTATCAGGATATAATATTGTTCTAAACAGCACAGTTTAATACCCCTGATATGTCACAGTGCTAGCTACAGATATACCCATAGGAATTACCTGCATCTGTGTTGGCAATGTGCACAGTCAATCCATTTAGAGCAATCACACTGTGCTGAAATTTTGGGATAATATAGACATTTTGTATGTTCCATCTATGTTACTGGTAATCAAATGGTACTACGAAACTCATAAGATAGCTGAATGGGCTTTGATTATTTTAATATTCCTTAATAATGCATAAAAATACAATAATATCATTAACTATCACTATATCAATTAGGAATGATATAACAAATTAAAGACTGCAATAGTTCCAAATATGAATATCAAGGCATTAGCTGTCTTGATGATGTATGTAATTAACAGACAATTTATTTTGAGAACAAATATTTTTTATATATTCTACTTTCAAGTAAGCAAGGTCAAAGGCAATTAGCAGCCACTTCCTCAACCAAGATTCCAATATTGAAATATACCAACAGTGTGTTTTAATTCTCTATATTTGACATCTAGTGTAATCCAGTTAGTACAATTACAGGAGCAGGGGATCTAAAATCAGCACATTCCAGCATAATGTGATACTTGCTCAGCAAACCTGACCAGGGTTCAGGGAATATGAAAAAAAACAGCAAAGTAACAATGGTAATTTACGAGTATAATTCTGTAATTATTTACGAATTAATTAAAGCAGTTTCGAATTTTATTCTTACAATCTCTTACCTAATACAAAGAACAATCGTAAAACTCTTCATTAATTGTAATATCTGTGATTGATCCTTTGATCTGACAAAGAGGTGCAGCCAAATTTCTTTTAAAGGTCTGACAAATTATGAGTTTTAATACTCATGTTCATATTATAAACAAGATACCAAAGTGTATGAATATAGTATATTTCAGACCTGGGAACACCATTAGTTCAGACAATAATCACAATATTAATTATAATACTTGATATTTGATTGGCAAAGTAACATTCTTCTCAGGAAATACAGATACTCTCTTTTGAGTAAAATTCTTTCAAATTTAGATTATATTTCAAGAGATAAATTTCATATATTGTAAAAGCAAAGCACAACACATCTAACAATGTCAGGGTAAAAAGAACTTGACAGTTGGTGATACAGAAAAAAAAATTGTCATAAAATTCATGTTCATAAGTATTACACAACAGTAGCAAAGAATATGACCTACCATATACTTTTGCTTGAAAAATAATAAACTTTACTAATTATCAGTTACTTCTAGCATTGGACTTGTACACTAGACTTTACATTTTCAACCATATATGATTAAACAAATAAATATTAAGATGTGAAGAGATTTGAATGGTTTATCACAGAATGGTAACAAAAACTACTAAATACAAAAGGCTAAAAATAGCTTATTATAATTTAATTTTGCTTGATGGGGTACATGAATGGATATAATAATTTCACTTAAAGTATTGGAAAAAATTATAAGCTTTACAATAACTTACAAAGTGCCAGATGGCTAAAAGCACCAGGATTATTACTGAACAGCTGATCTGTGAGCCAGTAGAAAATGATGATATATGTTACTTCTCTGATAAAGGGAGGAATAATTATAAGAAAAAATATAAGGATAATAAATCATATGAATACTAACAATGCTAATATAATGAAAACAATACTAACAGTGACCACACATGATAATAATAACAGTAATATGACACTAATGACAATGATTATAGCAGTCATGCTAATAACCTAGGCTGTGTTTTGTATCTTTGATTCTGTGTGTACATGTATTAGCTGATATCAGTTGATGTACTGTGTGTGGAAACATATAACTTGAGATCATACTGCTCTTTTTAAAATTTGATAATGTGATTTTTTTAATGGATATTTTCAGTTCCAATGTAACTAATCTAATCTTTCCATTATCTATTGAAGGTATTTTAATTCCTTTGAAGTCCAATGTAAGTGCTTAACTTAACAATTTAAATTAGTGTTTTATTGATCATTATACTTAAGCTTTCAAAATTACATATAGATAACACAACATTTGATTTTATATATCTTTTATCATAACTTTCTACTGGCCTACAAGCAGCTTTAGGCATTAAAACCCTTTACTTCTCAGGGATTAGCTTGGGGCATGAAAGCACAGGTGGGTAATGTGAACTATGAGTACTTAAGGTAAAAGTAGTGTCTTATCAAGTTCTGAGAATGATGGAAAATAAAGAATGTTTAAATTATTCAGCTAATTAAAAGCCTTCTGAGTCCATAAAAATAATATTCACATATAAATAATTGTAATCCTATACTTAAAAGCCTCTATGACTATATACTTATAATACATGAACACATCTAACGAGTATAATGAATACTACTACAGTGCTACCTCCGGTTCCTGGCTTCCTCCATGTAGTATGATGCCAAACAGGGTAGCCTTTTTCAATGCACAAAAATCCTAAGTACTTTTCTAAATTTCTGAATCAATATGTCAATATCATTACAACAAGAGATGTCCTAAATTCTGTATTTACTTCCATTTTTCAGTTCAGTATATCTTGAGTTAGATATTCTATGTTTTCTTGATATATGATAATTCATTATCTAGCTGTAATAGACACAGACAAAATTCTAGTGCTGTCTATTTCTTCCTAATGTGTAATAATCCTATTTAGTGATAATATGTCATTTCATATTAAGTCTATGTTGCAGCTACATAACAAATATAAAATACTAAACTAGTCTACTTCACTTAAAATAAACCATCAACTTTTGTGATGAATCATGTTAATATTGGATAAAATTAATAGAGAAATATTCTTAGTCACTATCCACTCGATAAAAGTCTTTCTTTTCTTGATTTCTTCTTTCTCCTTCGCTCTCTTCTTTTCTGCCTTCTTTGTTCCTTTCCCAGACGACTCTTTCTTGGCAAACGTACTTTGTGTTTCCTTGATCCCATGGAATCCAGGACATGTCTACTCCTAGGTCCATATAACTGGTTTCCTAGGAAAGAAAATTGTTAATAATTAATTTACATAATATTTCATATCATCATTAGCAATAAAACTTCACAGAATATGGTAATAAAGAGAACAGCCACATTACCTGTTATTACCAAAAAAAATTACCTGAATATTTGCGTCTTAATTTTTTCTGTAATTTTCGTTGTCTGCGTCTCTCCTTTCGCTGAAGTAAGCGTTCTGCTTTTGATAGTTTTCTTACTGGACCAACAACATTGTTCATAAGAGAATGGTCATCACTTTGCTCAAGTCTTTGGGGATCTTCAAAGCTGTTAACACTTGCCTGTAATATTTAATACTAAAATTTAATACTCAGATAAGATTCATATGATATGTGATGGTGGTCTCCATATGTGGGAGTATATAAGTGTGTGCTCATGTACAATGTGCATCTATATGCATGTGTTTAGGGTTAGGTGTCCATACAATCTAGTAGGAAAAAATGATTGCAGAATTAGTACAAGGAGCATTCTTTAAAAAAATACAATATGAAAATCTGCAAATACATATTAAATTATAGGATCTGGGTGATGTGATCACCACGTCATCTGGCTGAGAGTCAAGATGACAGGAATTTCATGAAAAATTTGTCTGAAGGTCGGGATGACAGGAAGGACTCACCACAAGAGCACAAAGCTCTTAGAGGATAATGAGACTCTATGGACTAAGAGGAAGGGATTCTAGCATTATTTTTGTTGGTAAACATGTGTGGAATGTATCATCTGTAAACCATGACTGTCATATGGCTCTAGGGGGAACACTATTTTTATGATCAGGATCCTATTCTCACCCATCATGATGTAGGCACACGGTAATATTACCAAAAAAATGAAATAAAATCTTATATATAGTTATTGTTACTGCACAGAGTTATAACCTCCCTACAGAGATGATATGGAGTAAGTGCAAGGAAAACAGTCTATTACCATCTTTAGACAGCATATCAAGTGACAAATAGTGATAAATACTGTATTATATTATATTAAGCAGAATAATTTTATAATATTTCAAAGAGGAGGCAAGGAGACTTGACACTGTATAACAATGCCCAGATTTTGGCCCATGTGTGGGCAGCAAGGCACCCTGGTTCCAATGGACTAGGAGTATAATATGCCTTTTCTTAAGATTTCACTGAATCAACATTACACATCTTTTGTAACAAAATTGTTGAATGATGATTTACTGATATCAATCTTCCAAAGTTTGATACCATGAGATAAGCCATGGAGAGCAGGTCTGAAGGTTTTTCATTACTCTTTATATAATAATAAAACTTTACATAATCAACTTCTGACAGTAATACAAATTTTTCTATCTATTTTTTATAGCAGTTGATGGGAAGAGTGAAGAAGTTGCATCCTCTTATACTCTCTCTCCTTTCCTTAGCTGACATTTCTCCATAGATGGCACTGTCACACTTATTTGTCCTAGATTCTTATAGCTGCTATATTACTACAATATCTATATTCACATAAAGAAATCCATGTTAAGATCTTTACATAATCCATGATAAGATCTTTACATAATCCATGGTTAGATTCTATCCTGTGTGTAGTCATCTATATACCATATCTCCCAGGTATTAAAAAAAGTATTAGTGAAATTTATTCACTAATACTATGGCATGAGGATGATACCAAAATTGATTTTATCCTACGTACAGATGTTTATACATCATGCCTTCAAAGATGGTGTCAGAAAATGAATCAATGCAACATTAGTGGTTTTCATGTTTTGCATCTGTAGAGAGATGTGTACAGATAACATCCATTCAAGGAGTTTTACCTCCTTACTAAGTTTTAGTTATCTATTGGTGCACCATCATATATTCTGTTATATATATATATATATATATATATATATATATATATATATATATATATATATATATATATATATATATATATAATATTTTTTTTTTTTTTTTTTTTTTTTTTTTTTTTTTTTTTTTTTTTTTTTTTTTTTGACACATTTACTTGCTGTCTAACTTCAAGACTAAAACAAGCAAATTTTAAACAATAGCGTCCAATGAATTTCCCTATTTCTGAGACTGTAAAAGACCTTAAGTTAAAATTGTCTTTCTAATGTACTGAGAGCAGTGGTTTTGTGCATATAATAACATAAAAAAAAACAGATTTCAAATCAGATTACTGTACAGTGTACTAATAGACCTACATGTGAACTTGGAAAATCATCACAGCTATCTGCTCCAGAACATGTGCGTAGTTTCTCAAGGCGATGATGCAACTCAGCTAAGCGAGTGTTAGATAAAGTAAATGCCACATTCCTCAGCTGGTATGGATCTGCAAAGGAAAACCGGTTATCCAAACTGCAGGAAATTTGAAGCAAAAAATCAAACTACTTAATAGTCCTTCTCATA